CTCTCATACTTGAGGTATACCTATGATGAAAATTACAGGCCTCTCTCATCTTTTTAAGGGGGAGAACTTGCACAATTGGCGGCTGCCTAAATACTTTTTGCTCCACTGTACAACCCAAGAGGAGAGCAGGAACACCCACACACGCACATACACATACATAAGACATGCACCCATCCTGATTATACCCTCACTTGTACACACAAGCAATACTGCACACTCCCAGATTAGTCCCTGGGGAGAAACATTAGAACAGTGTTTCTCAACCTTGGCAACTTTAAGATACGTGGACTTCAACTCCCGGAATTCCCCAGCCAGCATGAGAAACTCTGCCCTAAATTAAAATCACTGGGGAGGGGAGGCTGCCTATGATCCCACCCGGGGGCCTGGCTTGTAGTGCTGAGGTCAGAACAGACCACCTCTGGGTGGACCATCTGCTGACTTTTCCAAAATGAACCTTGGACGCTCACTGTCTTTGGTTTACTATCAGTGGTTTTATTTAGGATTTTTAAAAATTGTTTTGTAAGTCAATCTGCGTTCCTTTACGAGAAACAGTATTATAGATTAATAAAAACAGTAATAATAGTACAAATCTCACTGCTGTGAGATGGGTAGTAGAATGAATGAATGAATCAATCAATCAATCAGTCAATGAATCAGTGAATCAATGAATCAATGACTCAATGGATGAGGAAGGAAGGAAGGAAGGGAAGGAAGGAAGGAAAGGAAGGAAGGAAGGAAGGAAGGAAGGAAGGAAGGATAGCATAGAATGAATAATAGCACAGTACAGCAATAGACTAGCAATAATTAACTAATTTAGTAAAGAGCCGCCAAGCCAATTAGACTTATCCTCCCATTATTTGCCAAATCTTCCTTTTAAAAAATTGGCAGTCTTCTATATAGGGGTTGACCACAGCAACGTGTACTTTTTTTTTTTTTTAGAACAGGAATTTCATGTTTGCGTTCTTTAAGGATGTTGGGTTGGAGAATATCCCGATCCAATGATTTCTTTGTTTTCCACTTGTTTCCCTGCTGGCTGGCTGGCTGGCTGACCCTGACACATTTCTAGACATAGGCTTTCGATAGAAGTCAAGGTGCTGTCAAAATGACATCATGACGTCATCGCACAAACAATTTGAGTGACACACTGGCACCCTGCTGCAAGTACGTCATTTGGGTGATTTGTGTCACGATGTCACGATGCACGCAGCATCCCTTGTTCCTTTTGCAGGCACTTGCTGTTGGGAATTGTAGTCCTGGTCTGTCCAGGCTGTGGGCGGAGAAATCTATGAATGGTACTTGAACACATACAAAGAGCCGCCATGTACCGTTCTTTGAGATCACTCCTGTGCAACAGACCGGGAATGTGTGCAATGGCCCAACTTGGTTGCAACACAATAAATGGCATCCGGGGATTGTATTTCAGGGAGAACTCAACTCTGGTCAAAGGACTGACAATGTATTCATTGGGGAAAGAGCCCCTTAACATGGGGTCATGCACCCCACCCAACCAGGTTGTCAGTAGAATGAGAGGCATCAAATACGAATACTTAAAAATCTTACCATGTTATTTGCTTGGATGTTTGCTTATTTAAATATAATGGTGCCTATCTGCTGGTGGCCCCTGGTAATGTTGAGCAAGGATTCCTGCCTCAGTTCCTCTCTCGTTAAATCTGTAAGAGAGGGATACGATCAAATCAACTTCGGTTATTATGATCAGCGATTCCAAAGAGAAGCAACCAAGAAGAACACAATTCATAAAGTGAATCCAGGCTGGAAAAGCTCTCCCTTTTGTCCTAATTGTTGCTGCATTTTCACACAAAATTGGGCTGCCGTGTGGCTGGTAGCACGGTTGGCACCTGAGAGGAGGGGATTGGCATGGTGTTCTTCCCCCGAAGCCTGGCAGCAAGCGTGGCATGGAATCCTTGTGCTGATGCTGATAGAAATTGCAACAAAGCCGCACGTGGGGACAGCTTCTGATGTCCCCAAATCCCCAGGCGCAGTCTGCCTGCAACAATGCGAGTGGGAGCGTGTTGCTCTGGGCCCAGAAGAAGCCCTCCTCCAACTTGGGGAAAGTTAGTGGAAAAAGGAACTCGCAGATCATCTGATGCCTTTTACTGTCAGAAGGTCTGCTCTTCCAGGAGAGGGCGCTAACCTCGGTTTGGTATTCCATGCAGCCTCAGGCTCTCTCTCACTACTGCTAACCATGGTGCAGGGTGGTTGTCTGCCAAAATTAACGCTACCAGGCCATTGGAGGGATGCCATGTGGGTTGCAGACAGCCTGTGGGAGTTCTCACAGCAACATCCTCTCTCACCGTAGCAGTCCCGTGGATGTCCCAGGGACAGATGTGGACAGCAGCGTCACGCAAATGCCGTGGCTGCACACCTACATCTTACGTAAGGCATGGCATGTGCGTGGTGATGTCAAACCACCTGTGTTGCCATCTGCACCCCTTCTCCCCGTGCAATTTTTTAAAATTGTTGTTATTATTCGTTAGATTTAATATAACTGCCCAGTCCAGTGGACTCTGGGCGGCTTATAATATATAAGAGTAATTAAAACAATTGCAAACATAAAATGAAAAACAAGACAGCGCATAAAAACAGCTATTAAAACCAAGCGCAACTGCCACCCCCCAACATATTAAACCCAGGCCTGGGACCAAAACCAGGCTACCAGATGCCCATATCTCTAGCTCTCCCCCTCCAGATGTTGCCCGGTAAGTCCCACCATCTTCAGCAAGCCCTTGCTTTTCCCAGGATTTCGAATGATGAATTCTCTTCCCATCCCTGCTCCCGGCTTGCTCTTCACCCTCGATTCCGTCTTTCCTCTCTTCGCTTCAGTCTCCCCTTTGCAAAGCAGGCTGGTGTGGAAGATCGTGGAGGGCTCTTTCTAACCAGACCCCCCACCAAAGATCGGTCAGGATATCAACCGCCCCACATAATTGCAGAGTGTGTGAGGGTCCCCCACCCTCCAGCATCGGGGATGGAGATCCCAGCTCCGGGCACCCAGCATTTGCACCATGCCCTCGTCTGAGCCCTGCAGGCAGCCTGGCTGCAAGGGGCCCATTCTCCCTCTGGGGGAGACTCTCCCACAGAGTCCCTTTCCCAGGCCCGGCTCCCGTTGCTGCTGCCTTTGCTGCAGCTTGCGTCCCCTCGAGTGCTTGCAGCCAAACACTTGCGCGCCCCCACCCCAGCCACCACTCCCTGCCACCCACGCGTATCAGAACTGCATGCCAAGGAGGGACCCAGCCCTGTTTTCCCAGGAGAACCTAGCAGTGGCACCGGACTGCATGCCAAGGGGCACCCTGGTTCAGGGAAGGCAGCACGGGGTTCTTGCCACCCCTTCCTCATTTCCCCTCTCTGAAGGGGCAACAGGGACCCGCAAGGAGCCTGAATCTCTGAGCAGAATCTTACAGAAAGCTACCTGTGGAGGGTGGTTAGATCTTTTTCAAATCAAGTTCTTCGAAGGGCAGTTGGGTTGCAGCCAGCTCTTCCGAAACTTCATGAATAGTATGATATTAAGAGACCCAGCGTGATGCTGAGCTGCTGTTGGGATTTATTTGAGGAGAATCATCTCCTCCTCCTCCTCCCCCCCCCAATGCACTAGTTCTACTGACACTGACAACCTGGTTGGGTGGGGTGCATGAGCCCATGTGAAGGGTCTAGGAGTGAAAGACTCTTACCCAAGCAGAGATTTCTACGGCCACATTCCCCCAGGCCTGGGACGTCAACTTTCCCAGTCTTTGCTTGAAGCAGTAGATTCAAGCGAGTGCTAATGGCTACGTTCGGATAACATATTTGCCCAGAACCTAGTGGCAGTGTTTACACATCTGTGTCTTGAGTTAGAGTTAACATGGCAGTTGAAAGGGCTTCTACGGCAAGTTTTAATTTTTAACATCATGAAAACCTAGGCAGTTTGCTTAGTTTAGGGCTAGATGCTCTGCGCAGAAGGCAGGTTCATTCCTTAACCTGGCTAAGTATGTTGTGTGAACGCATCCGGTGCGTTTGGTTAGCCTGGCTGGAACGCGGAGCCTGTTCTGCGATCTCAGCCAGCCTTTGGAAGAAGAGTCGAGAAACACGTGCTGGATGGCCCGGAGAGGTGAACAGAGGCTCAGCCCTCCGCCGCCTCCATCACGTCCTCATCGATGGCCTCTTCGTGCAGAATCAGAGGCGGAGGTCAGACTTGGCCTCGTGGTGACTCATCCCTCTCTCTCTGGAGAGATGCCAGGCGCTGGCTTGGCAGGGGGAAAGTCCCCCTGCTGTTTGCTGTGAGTCTCTCTGCCCGCCTGAGGTGGGCCAGATGAGTTGGGCAGCCTGAATTGGCTGGGGGGGGGACTCCCTCGAAGCTTTTGGGGCCCGGGGCTGACTTTTCTGCAGGGCGATTGGAGCGGGGCCCTTCTTTGCTTCTTCCTTGGGGCCCAGGCAAGCCAAGCACAGATTCCAGCTGGCTTAGCCTGCATCAAGGGGGGGGGGGGGCAAAGAATTTGTTCTGGGGTGTGGGGAAGGAAGCAGGAAGCCACAGGGCCTGCAATCCCCTTTAAACCAAGATCCTGGAAAAGGAAAGGTTCCTGCTCCTTGTCAGACCAAGCAGGGCATGCGGCTCAGGTTAGGCAGATTCACACGTTCCTCTCAAGGCAGAGGGAGGCGGTCTTTCGGCAGAAGGAGGGGGGCTCTTTTTGAGGCAAGACCCCCAGGACGATCAGGCATCTCGGAGCAGGACAAGAGCAGATCGGCTGGCAAGGAGCAGCTGATGCAGAAGGTAGCACATCATTTTCTTGTGGGGTTTTCTCCCTCCACCCCGACCCTTTGCCCTCCCTCTCCCCCCATCGGGCATCGCCAGTCCATGGTGGCTCAGTGCCTCCGGGGCGGAAAGTGAGTCCCTGCCCTCCCTCCGGCTGCAGAAGGGAGGGTCCTGGGCAAGGCTCCGTCGCGAGGCTTGGCAGAAGGCAGTTCCCCCATCTGCCACTCTCGGCACTCACACCACCAGCTTAACCTGGATCCCGAATTCAGCGTCTCTTAGGGTTGCCCGATAAATTGACCCGTAAGCAAAGTGGTCGGGCTGGTTGTCACCACAGGCAGGGCCATAAAAAGGAAGAGCAGTTCAAAGTTAACATTAACCAAGCCAAGCACGCTGCGCACGTGGGCACCTGTGGGGCCTCACCTGCCCCGGTGAAGCGTGTTGGATGAACACACCCCCATCCTTGGCACCGTATGCCACAGTTGGTCGGTTACGGACCCGCCTGTTGCCAGAGTCACGTCAACACAGCAGCTGTATTTTGCCAACCCGGTTCCTCTCTCTCTCGGCCCAACCCACCTCACAGGGTTGTTGTTGTGGGGAAAATAGGAGGAGGAAGGAGTATTAGGTATGTTCACCACCTTGAGTTATCTATAAAAGTAATCAAGGCAGGATAAAGAAAAAGCCCACCAGTTTAGTGCGGTGTTTCTCAGACTTGGCAACTTTAAGGCGCATGGACTTCTGCTCCCAGAATTCTGGGAGCCCGCGTGTCTTAAAGTTGCCAACTCACTGGTTTAGTGAGTTGCGTGAACTCGGCTTATGTCTGCAGCTGGGCCTCTCCTTTGGCCAACTTCAGTGGCTGGAACCCCCTAGGGAGCCCTTCTCAACCCAGCCCCTCCCCGTGGGATGGATTACCAGCCTGATGGGTGTGGTAGCCCCACACTGCAGGGAGAGCACTAAGGTGGGGAAACATTTGAAAAGTTGAAAGAGGAGGCTGAGCTTGACCGCCTCCCCGGGCAGTGGCCGGAGGCCTCCCGGCCGGCTGCCCCCCCCCAGCCTTGCCCCCTCCCGGCACACGAAGCCTCCCCTGCAAGGCCAGTCTTAGTCACCTCTGGCGTAGACTGTATGTCTTGAGGGATCGGCTTTGCTTCTGTCTGCCCAGCCATGACTGTTGCGCCCTTAATTGCAGGGAGGCGGTTTGTAATTGGAGCCAGAGAAGGGCTGGGTGTAGCTAAATGCCGATCCCGCGTGGGTCCGCCCGCCCCCACCCATCTTACATCACCGCCGTGCCTCCCTGAGTGATGGAGCTCGGTACATAAACAGCTGATCTTTCCGGCACAGGCAGTTCGAGCGGGCAGTCTGGGAAGAGCCCAGCTTCGGCTTCTCCTCTGAGTGCTCGGAGGAGGATCGGGGATGACCTTCCCAAGACAGGTGACCCAGTGGACGGGTTTGGCAGGGGGTGCGGGTGGGAACAGGGAGGAGGAGGAGGAGACACCTTTTCCCTAAGTTAACACCTTTTCTGCACGCGCCCGAGGCGTTGCATCGGAAACTCCCCAAAGGGATGAGTTTTCACAATGCCCCAGACCAGACCTACACGGAAAGGGTCTGCGCTTAAGGCTGACTGAGGCTGGCCTGCTGTCTGAATGCACCTGCTAGGGACTTGTCTGACGCACCACTAGCCAGTTTGGTCAGCTTGTGGTCCCGTGGGCCGTGCAAATGCAGAAGCGAGTTGATTTGGGGACGGGGCTGCGGAGTGCTTTTTCTTGGAATGGTGGGTCTCCCCAGAAGGGGTTGCAAGTTCCTGGGATTTTGTTGGAAAAAAGACAGAAATAGGATCAGGCTGCCTAGTTCTAATTTTTTATTTTTATTTTGAGGGGGAGGGCGACTTTTATTGGGTGCATTTCTGAACTACGTACAATATAAAAACCACAGATACGTTCCTGGAGATTTCCGTAAGCAAATTCTAGCCAAAGATGTCTGGTTCTTTTAAACCTTCCTTCTCCATCCTGGTGACTGCCAGACACTAAACTAGGTTGAAATAGGGTTGGGCTATTTGTCGTTCAAGGCCTTGGGGAACTAACATTTGCATGAACCAGGCTGCCTGATTTAGCCAGCATAAGATTGTTGATTTTGTTAACATATCGTATAAAGTATTTCTTTAGAGCGTGGCGTTTTACGTGAGTACAGAAATTGCACTCTGTTGTCCTGCATTCAGGGTTTAGCAAGTCGTGTGAACCCATTCAGTGTGTTGGGAGTACCAGAAGCAGAATTCCCAGGAATTCCCAAGTTGGGGAAGCTGGTTTAGCAATTTTTTTAACGGAACCAGGTTAACAAGCATAATGGCTTGATGCTTAACCGGAGTTGATGCTTAACTGAATTCCCTAAGTTCAGACATAGCAGAAGTCTGTGGTTGGTTTAAAAACACTCATGAATGCTTTTGCATATCCTACCATCTCAGCAGAGGAGAATTTGGAAGAGATGACATTATTAATATTGTTATTATTATGGTTGGTGGCATAGTCAGCCAGATGTTTAGACTGGATTTGGCATTTTTATTCATCTGTCAGGTCCTTCCCCAGGACCTGGGATAGGCAGATGTTTGATAATGTTAAAGGTATTGTCGAAGGTTGTGAGCTGTTCCAAGAAAAGCTGCCTTTTGCAATTATTATTAATCATTTCATCATCACTTTCATCACCATCACTGGGTGTCTTTGGGCCAGTTACTCTTCTTCATCCCAGCCTACTTCACAGGATTGTAGTGGATAAAAATAGGAGGAGGGAGCACTCTCTGTGGTACCTGGAGCTCCTGGACCAAAAAGACAGGATATACCTCTAATAAACGAATAATAGTAATTCGAGGCTCTGACCTCCAAAACTAAACATGACAAAACTGGATTAGTAGGCTAAAACATTTCTCCTTTGGCATGAAAAACTGAGCAGCTTTTTCTCCCTTCCCCTTTGGGCAAATTCCCAAAGGATGGTCACAAAATTAAGACGGCTCCTCGCTCGGTGGAAAAACTGCAAAATCCCCAGATATTGGAGAAAACTCCATTGCTGTCCCAAGACCTCTTGCAGGGTGGACCAGCTCTGTCACGATGGGGAGAAGATGTTGCCCCAGGGCTCAGGTGCTGCCCTCAATGCCTTCCCTAAATCCGTCTCCGTTTGTAATCAGCCTGCCCCCTCTGGCTTGTAGCCTCAGCAGCTTTGTGGCCTCGCTGCCTCCTTGGCCCTCGCCCAAATCAAGCTGGTACGGTGGCTTCGCTTCGTCCGACTGTCTCCCAGAGCTGCTGGGTGCAAAGCCCAGGCTGGCTGGGGAAGCTGGGAGTTGGAGTCCAAATGGGCGGAGACCAAGCTAGTGGGTTCCGGCTTCCCTCCTCCACCCGACGTTTGGGCCAGCAGAAGGGTTTCTCTTTTCCTCTCGCTGAAACGCTTCTGCCATTCAGTTTCTGACTCGGTTGGCAAATGGCTTTTGCGGGGCATCTGCACGGGAGGGACAGCGTAGTGTAGTGGTCAGGTGCTGGATTAGGACTGCGGAGACCCGGATTCAAGTCTACCCTCACCCAAGGAAACTCACGGGGGTCACGTGGGGCCTCTCTGTCTCTCTCAGCCCAGCCTACCTCACAGGGTGGTGGTTGTGGAGGAAAACGGGCAGTCCTGGAGAAAGGCCAGGATAGAAATGTCACCAGCAGATGTAAGCAATTTTCCTCCACCTGCTGCTTTCTAAAATCCAGTCTGGGGATAATCAGAGATGGAGTTGCAGCCAACCAACATCCATTTTAAGGTGGTTTGAAGGGTAAGCAGCCATGGAAACGCTGCAAAATACTCATTTCTTAGAGTCAGAGAAAGAGCAGAGGGCTTGAGGAGAAGCAAAGGAGAGTTTCAGGTGTTTCTAGATAGGATTTTAAATCCTGCGCCTGTCTGCTTGCCTTGAATGTGGAATTTGATCAGAGAGAGCTAAACTGCGGCATCTCGCATTCATAATTGTGTAGTTCTTCCGCCTGTTTACCTGTCGCCTTTTCTTCCTTGCCACACCAACACCCCGTGAAAGAAAACCAGAATTGCTGCAAGGTTTTGTTTTTTGGGGTATGGGTACTGCTAAGAGCTGCCCCTCGTATATCAGATTTCGCTGTGGATTGGTGGAATGTTAGAGATGAATCTCTCCTAAATGAAATGCGGGTAGCAGCCCGCTTTGGCGGCCAAAGCCGGACACTGGCACGGCATTCAGGTCCCCCGCAGGCCATTCCTGTCTTTTTGTGGGCCTCCGCAAGAGCAGCAAGTGACGTCACTGTGTCCCGATGTTGCACAAGCTACGCAACGGTGCTGCCGCAGTGCACGACTTCCAGCCTCGATGCCGTATTGCGCAATGACGTGACAACGGCACAATGAGATTGTGCCGTGCGTGATGTTGTCATGGGTTATCTCGGGGACCTGCGCGTGCTGCCAGGGAGCAGAAGTCCTGTGGGTAGGGCTGCGTGGCGGAGGTAGCAGGTCCACCCGTTGGCCCCTCCCCAGATCCGATTCATAAGGCTCTAGGGGCGTTCTTCCCTCCTCTGGGGCTGGCTGATCGTTTGCCTCCTCCAAGGGGGCTGCTTGCCACGGGACGCCTCCCCGTGCAGGAAGTAAATCCCAGGATTTGAGTGCTGTTAATCCAGATTTACAATGTCACCTGATACTACATAGATAGGAAAAGACCAGCACAGGTATGTCTTGCGGGAAGGATGCAAAACAACCAGCCCGTGCTTTAGTTGGCCTTCTGACCCCGATGTCTTTGGGAGGTGCGGGACTACAGATCCCATGGGCCAAGCTGACTGGTGATTGGTCTTGTCATCTGCAACAGATTTTTCATTGTTTGCAAAATGTTTTTCAACCGGAAATGGAAGGGCCCTGCGCCCAAGCGGGGAGAAGCCTCGGGTGGGTGTTGTTTCTGAATTGTCCCTTCCAGCTCCAGTTAAACTCGTGGGGCTGCCTTCCCGTAAGGCACTCAGCCTGGATACCGATGGACCCATTTGCTGAATCGTAAACCAACCGAACCAAACGCGCCAAGCCACAAAAACAGCCCAGGTTTACGGCTAACCAAGCTTAGCATCCTTGCAGCCACAGCTGCAAATCTTTAACAGGCCAAGTAAAGTGCAGGAGTCTTTGGGGGAGGGGAGGTCAAAAAAGTAAAGAGAGCGGCTGCAACTGAAACCCCGCCACTCCCCGTGAAAAAAGAGGACTTTGGTCATGGAGTCACAGGTACATCTTGACTTTTTTGACCACCCTCCCCCTGTGGACATCCCCATAAATGGGTGAACATGGTATCTGGAGGCAGGGAGCAGAGCGGAGGCTCCTATCCCATTTGCCTTTGCAGCTGTGGGCAGCCGAGCGCTCTGGGGCCAGCCCGGCCGTTAGATACCGAGAAGCAGGTCTTCAGGGATCCCCCCGAAGCTGACGAGGCAGGATTTTCTCTCTGCAGAAGCCTGGAGTCTCTGAAGCTCCGGAGGGAATCTGGGTCCAGACCGTGTTCGCTGATGGGTGCAGTCCCAAGGGGGGAGACGTGGGGGCAAGCAGGGCTTTTCTGCCCCATCAGCCCTGGTTCCTCCTGGGGGAGGCTGTCTCCTTAGGTTACCTGTGAGTCACCCTCCCTGGGCTGGCTCAGCCCCGTTTCCTGTTTACCTTCCTGGCGAGTGCCTTTTGGTGCCAACTGATTACTCAGCATGGGGAGAGAAGGAGAGAAAAGGGCATCTCGAACGCTGGAGCAAATCTCTTCCCCTGGGCCTGGAGAGCCCCAGGACCTGCCCTCAGATCTGGGCAAACCCTGGTTTACTCGAGGCGAACCTGGTCGACGCTCTCCCTTTCCCAGTCCTTAAGACAGCAAACCGGGAGGCTGGATTTCACGGCTCGGCTGCAGAGCCGGGCAGGCGGGGGGGACGCCAAACGCCCAGTCCGCCGAGCCGAGCTGATGGCTGGGCGGTTTTCTAGGCACTTGGCAACCGTTCAGTTCCAAGCAGGCAAACCGAGAGCTGACGTGACCAAGGTTATATGCAGTCTGTAGGAATGTCTAATGGAGCATGTCTGGACCCAAACGGTAACGGGAATAGGAGGAGGGAGGTGGCCGAAAAGCAAAGCAGGTCATGTACAGAAAGAAGGAGGAAGGGTAGAAATGTGGGGAGTGTTAAAAATAAGGACTGGAAGCTTAAAGAG